ATGAGCTGGTGAAGGAAGATTTTCCTCTTGACGGGACCTCATGGCAGTCTAATGCTGTGTTGTAAGTGTTGCATCAAAAACACTGCAAGCAGAAAAAAAAATGTAATGGGCAACAGCTACTTGTGTGCATGAAGAGACAGGTAGTCACTGGGGTTTCTCCACAGAAACCTCTCTGTGCTCTGGACCAAAGAGAACACTTGAGAGAGGGTGAGCTAGGCTGCAGACCAGAAGGCAATGGGCAGGCAGCATCTCTTCAGTAGCAGGAGGGCTAGGATCACTTGTGGATAACAAACTTAGAAATTCTGAAAAATAAGTTTGTAAGTGGGGGAAAAGAAGACCTGCAGTTGCTAGGATGGTAATCTCTTCAGACCTTTAAGCAAAACAGAACCTACCCCCATTTGCCTGCATGCATATGTAAGTAATGAGGCCTGTGAGATACAGGGCATTCTGTATGCCCCCTCTTGCAGTGAAGCTTGTTTTAAAGACAGCAGTCCCTGCAGCATTAATTCTTAACCTCTTGGCAGCTAAGGCTTACTGAGAAACTGGCAACACTGCACAAGGCCAGCAAAGGCTCTGTTAACTTGAGTCTTGCCCTGCCCATGGCCTCTAACACACCCTCCGTCCCTACTCAGAAACCACTGCAGGAGGAGCTGGGGTACCAGCAGTAAGGCAAGAACAGCTACTGCAGCTTGCATTGCTCAAAACCTAGACAAAGAGGCGTTTGTACACATTTTCTGCTTTCTGGAGGCAGCAGGGTGGGAATTATGACATGCTGAATTCAGTTAATTATGTTGATAATCCATCAGCACTGAGTTTGTCAACTCTGTGGTCAAGACTTTTTACATCTTCTCCCAGTGTAAGAAAAATATGTACATAAAGGGAACTGAGAGCATCAGCTTATGGCAGACTAACACATGCTTATATAATGGCTCAGGAACTGGAAGTTCCCTGTTGTTCTGGAAAAAGAAAACATAGTTTAGGAACATCTCCTAGAAAGGGAAAAGCCTCTCCACTCCTTTTCCCCCACACAATCTGTTACTTGATGAGTTCATACTTTAGTGGTGTCAGAGGAGGTCCTTCTCAGCTGCTGTTCCCCAAACCTTTCTGTGTTCCCGCCTCTGCTGCAACACAGAGCTCTGAGGATGGCAAAACCAGACACTCTTTAGTACAATTACCAAGGGCTGCCCACCATGCAAAACTATCAAGCTCTTCTCATCTGGAAGAGGCATCTCTTGCCTGGTTAGCAAGGGAGACAGGACCAGCTGGATGCCCTGCTAACAGACAGCCTGTGCTGTACACATGTAGTAACAACGGTAACGAGGGGGGACTACAAAATCATTTTCATCAGTTACAAAGTCTTTTACAGAGCTTATCACTGGACTCAGCCAAATTACATATACAGCCATAACCAATCCTTAAGGAAAGCTTACCATCAGAATTTCAGTGTAGAGAACATATTCATGTAAAATGGGCAGCAGGTTTTCCGAGAGCCCTGCCATTCGCTTCTCCGTGGCCTTGCAACACTTGTCAATGCAGCTGGCAACACCTTTTAGGGAGTCTGCTATATCTTCTTCTGATGCTGACCAGAGTGTGTGGATGGGCCCGTATTCCTTCATTTCATTGAAATACTCTTAACAGGAACATATACATGTTTTTTCATTAATAGATGTCCAAGTGATACTAATTGCAACCTCATACTTACTGTAAACAAAGCAAGAGACTTAGGATAATGTTTAAATTTGCTCAAATGACCAAGGTAAGTAAACTGCAGTTCATTGTTTATGAATAAACAGATCAATTGATGTATTGTAATCAAGTAGTTACCAGAAAGCTATCAGCAAAAATGCCCCAGTCGTTTCAAAAAGGACACACATACTCAGGTAGACCTGAAGAGTTGCCCCAAAAGCTTCACAAGACACACTGAAGTTCACCCCAGTTCTACAGGTGTTATCTCCTTTAGTAGTTCTTATCAATATAAATACAAGGATATGCTGTGAATTAATTCTCTTGTGTCTCTAGGCCAAGTGATCTTGCAGTGTTCTGTAAGCAGAAAGCAAGCCCAGGATTCACTGTGCCATTTGGTAGGGCTAAACTTGGGCAACCCTGGATATGAAATGGAATGTGCATGTTCACAGGAGGGTACTGTGAACAAATGGTCATGTATTAAAAAACACAATTTCATCACAACTGAAATTATGATTAAGAAACATTAAGAAAAGATGTAAATCAGCCATGTGGCATGAAAAGTGTAATGTTTACTTTGAGTATAATTGGACAAAAGATACCTCCATGGAAGATGTAATTAAGAATCCCATGTTAAGGTACTACCAGCAGGGATGTTCTCTGAATCACAACTATCAACAGTTCATACCCGTGACAGTGTGGCCCTGCACAGAAGTGTCCTGCCAAGTGCTACTTGGAAAATCTAGGAAGAAGAGAGAACCTACAACATTTTGGGAGCATGTCAAAATTCACAAGGTTTTCTAAGAAATATTTTGGCACTGATGTCTTGAACCTACAGACCTCAGCCAACTACTTCCACTGAAATGCAGGACCTCAAAAGGAACTCTTTTCACCAACATGTATTTTCCTTTTATAAAACTCCCCCAATTTAGAAAGGACATGCTGAGATCTGGTACTGCACAATAAAGCACAAAAGGCTCAGGTGTTAAAGAACACAGTGTAGCTCTTCAAATGATATTATATGGACAATAAAAACCCTCAAGTGCTGACCAGTGGAAATTCTGCTGACTAGACCTAATCTGAGATCAGGGTCAATCTCAGAAAGTCAGTTATTTGGCATTCCAAGTAGGTGTTCAAACTGCTGTAACTTAAGGAAAAAATATGAGATTAAGTCATCCTTCTTAAGAAAACTCTAACAGCCACAGTTTCCCATGACAGAAATTATGGCCAACAGTAAAGCTATTAAAAAAAAATGCAGCCTCCTTCAACAGAGAAAAAAAGATGCAGAATGAAACTGAAAAAGAGATATTTAGAGATCTGGACTCTAGACAGCAGTAAGCTGATATGAGACAGCACAGAAAAACGTTGACTATTTACATTCCACTGAAAGTACAAAACAGAAGCTTATGCAGCTTTCCAAAAAACAACAAATAAAAAGATAGCCATACATGCTATGTTTTTGTCTTTTTAAGTCCCTTATCAAGGATTTCAACATGTTAAAACTCTTCCTATTAACAAGTTATTCAAACTAACTGGAAGGTCTGCAAAAACGACGACTGTTATGAAAAGCAGAGTAAAAACAAATCTCCCTTCTCCCCTGCTTGCTGGACAAAGTATTTTCCCTGGCACAATGAAAACTAAGTTATTTTTCAAATATATTAATTTCTTAAATCAACAAAACTGATACTTGTTTTCTACTTACCCCTTTCTTCCTTGTAAATTCTATGAGCTATTTTGTCTAGTATGTTTATTTTCTGACTAAATGTTTCCATGTAATCGTTCATTTCTGTAAACACTTCAGGACGATTTTTAACTCCTCCTCTTACTGAAGATGCTACAGCTCTGACAGTCTGTCCCATCCTGCTCAGCAAACTGGGACCCTGCTTCTTGTGTGAGGAGAGTTCCTAAACACAGAACAAAACATGTTTAATTCCAAGTACTTTTCTTAATTCTCTGAAAAGAATGCATACTATTTTTTTTCTTTTTAGTGCATAAATCTTACTTCAAAATTGTTAGACCAGTGTTGGAACTGTAGCACTGTGCATTTATTAGCTGAGCCTTTCTGGGCAAACTCAGGCATGCCAGGTATCACGCTCTCACAAGAATGATGAAAGATGGCAGAGAACCTTTGCCCTCTCATTCCTTAGGGTGAGTTAGCTAGTTTACAGTTTAGCCTTTTGAACACGAAAGCAGAAGTAATGATTGCAGAAATAAGTCATTGAGAAAAGCAAACAATGTTCCTACTGGAAGAAGTAATCAATCTATTCTTTTTTTGCAGCTCTTTTTATACGTTGTTAGAATAACCTTTGCTGAAGTTCAGAGGCTTCTCTGAGTACAAAACTCTAGTTTTCAACTGGACACATCTTGCAAAAATACAACAGGAAATTCAAAGGCTGTATTTTTCTTTTCTGAGACTAGTATAACTTTTTTACAAAAAAAAAGCAGATTAAAAAGATAGCACTATGCCAAAACAGTAATTAAATTAAAATACTCTATATATACTCTTGGAGGCTTATATGTATAGCAGAAAGCGTGCAGAGTTGAAATACTGTGAATTTGCTACAAAAATATAAAAACAAAAACTGATTTGGAAGGTACAGCAATATTTATGACTACCAAAAGCAGAGGAAAAAAGGTTATCTTGGGGGATGAATATTCCATAAATCCCCTGCTGCCTTGTGACATTTCTGTAACAATCCATGATAGGACACTATTGAATACTGAACCAGGGGGACTCCTGATATATTCAAACACGAGACGTGGTTTCACATAACCATAAATAAAAATAAATTATTTTTACCCAGGCCTGTGCAGTAAGAAAAATTTTGAAGTCTTCATTAAAAGTTAAAGTTGGATGATCAGCAATACGGTTTAAAAATTTATGTAAAGCTTTTCTTCGAGTCTCAATGAATTCATCACTAAATCGTTCCACCATTCCTTTCATTATGAATTTTTCAGGCAATGGCTAAGGACAAAAAAAGAAATATATTGCATAATTTGCATAATATTGGGAGTATTGTAATAGTTCTTCTACTTACTGAGAAACGTAGGTATACTTTGTAAAATCCACCGTGCAAAAACCTGTTACAAAGTAATCATATTCAAAAGTGGTGTAACATGGTTCTTGTAGCATACAGTGGAGAAGAATATAACTAAGAAAGGACATAAAAGACTGAAAATTTCTGCAAATGGGACAACATAAACATAAGAAAAACCTTTCTGGGATTTTTAATTATCACAGACATATAAAGCTAATGAAAATAGGTTGCTTTAACATTTGTGAGGCTTCAGGGACTGAAGAAGGACCTCAAACATGTCTGTATAAAACTGAAGCCATCTTATAAACAAAAACAACTTAAGTTTTAGCAAACGAACAGGAATAATTAGTGTTGGATGTGCTTCTTCAAGTTTGCTCTTCAACCAAAGGAAATCTTGATATCGTCTTCGAACTTCATATTCACTGGAGTCAAATTCGCCACGAGATGTCTGAAAACCAGAGGCAGAAAAAACAAGCCCAGGTTAGAATACTGGGAAAAAACAACAAAATTGTTTTCCATTTTGGAGAAAGGTGAGTGCCTGAAGGGAATATATACCTGATTCTATTTTGCCTGTATTATTTGCTTGCTGTTTTTTATAGTGTAATGATCACTACTTGAATGGATAGAACACATCCCATTTTAGCAAGAACTCAAACTTCTATTGTAAAAAAAAAAGAAAGAAGCAAAACAAAAGCAAGCACTAAACTGCACACAGAGTGACTGATAATTATTAGCCTACCACAGCGTTTCCAAAAGATTTCCATCATTGTTTGAGCTGGGCATTTTCCATGTAGCAATCACAGTTGTGTTTGTTACGTTTGGGGCACTTTCTTTAAAGTGATTACTTAGTAATCTACGAGTGAAGAAAGTCCATTTTTTAGCATTCTGAAAAAAATCTCAAATAGCTGACGTGTGTCCTTGAGACCTGCTGACAGTAGTCAACAATCCCCACATTCAAAGCATGAAAACTTCAGCATATCAGAGCAATAACACTTCCTGCCCTGCTTAATGGATTCTGCGTTCCATCATCAATTCCAGTTTTGTAGCCCTTTGTTAGAACTTGCCAACAAACCTTTAATGCCCAGAAAAAATGCTTATTACAGTGCTGCAAAATTGTCAGACCATGAGATTTATTTTATCACTGCTCTATCTTCTAGAATCAAGCCACAAGGAGACCATGCTTTCATTAAAGTAATGTGTGCTGTTTAGCATTCATTGTTGCACAGAGACTTACAATGCAATGCAAGTAAATTCTAAAAACCTCAAAACACGCTTTTGTAATCTAAACACTTTTGAGGGTTGAATAAAATTTTTTCAAGGTATGTGGGATGAATGCTATTACTTTATCATCAGCAACCAGCACTTCAAATTAAATGCGATAAGAAAGGATAGAATAGATAAAAAAGCAAAAGCAATCCACCTTACAGCCCTTCCATACTTGCCTGAAGAAAAAATGTTCTCTCATCTACAAAAACATGAATAAAGTGAAAATTATTGCTAGCAACCTAACGAAGATAGCTCTCTTCCTACTCTTTAAATATTTTATGAGGAATTGATATCTCCTCTTATTTAAGGATGAATAATTCCCATTTGAAAATTTGGATTTAAATGAATCTTTTAAAAAGAACTCAAAGTAAAATAAATTAACAGTGCCATTCTGAAAATGCAGCCTGCAGAGTAGTTGCTGGTAATCCTGGAAGAGCTGGCTAGTCTCACAAGACTGACTTTCTTCCTTACTTCCAGTAAATAATCTGTATTCAGGACAACTAAAAATACACTTAGTTGTTTCCTAATATTTACCTTTTCATTAGAGAATTGTGGCAGTTTCTCCAGAAATCATATGCAACTGTAAATGGGAAACAAATGTCCATGCGATGGTGGACGCTGTAATTACAAGCGAATGGAATTGAAAGGCTGCAGCAGGTAACTTTTACCAAAGACAGAAGACTGCTAGCCTGCCAATGATCCAAAAGTCATAAATACTTGGGCTAACAGTGTCTTTGAACTGAGTCAGTCTTCCTGCTGTTTCTTATTCCTCCTGAAGATCACAGCAGAAAGTGTTATGCTCATATAGAAGAGATTTTGCTGTTGAAGAAGTACTGGCTATTTTAGCAGCATAAAATACCTAAGCACCCATGTGTGTGGACTTATACTGTTTTTTTTTTTCAGAATGTATTGCACTGTTTCATACAGTTTTAGTGGTCTACAATTCATGTCAAAATCAGAGTATAATTTAAATTTAGTAATATCCCAGAAAATGGTATGCAAGAATTGTGAAAATGCTACTGCTACTACTACTGCCAGTGTGGGCTGTTACAGCCATGAGCAGATGCTTACCTTTGAGACTACTCTGTATGTAATAAATGTTTCAATGGCTGTAATGTGGCTTTCAGGATCATCAACTGTAATGAAGAGATCTCTTAATTCTGGTTCATCTTCAAATTTATACTTCTTTATCATTGATGAGGGGGATATTGGCATTGAAGGACTGAATGAGTTTACCTCAGCCAATGATGTATCCTACAGATAAGACATAAGAACATCCATATCAATACCTCTTTATATCCAAACACACCCACGCAAACACATACGTCTCAGAAGTTAAAATGGCAAGCTTTTAAATAGGCTGGTAAACCAGATAAAACAGAGCAGATGAAAGAATTATATAGGGCATGGCAAATCTATTATCCTTTCCACTATTTGCTTTAGTGAGGATGTAAGAAATAAGCACGAGTTTTATTCTAAAACTGAGGAAAGAGCAAAATGCTACCATTTGACAGGAATGTCATACATAGCTAAAAAGAGAACTTGCCTGTGAACGCTAAATTAGTTACAAACCCAAGCACCCAGTAATTGTGTAGGATACTTACCAGCTTTGTTATTTAGCTGGCTTTATTAGAAGCTAGTTACTCAGGACTTTGAAGTTTGAATTATCTGTAATAACCCAAACAGGGTGGATAAAAATGATGATTTAAAAAGACAAAATCCAAATGAGAATTTGGATCATTTAAAATTAACATTTAAAAATAAAGTTTGAAATCGAAAACTTTTACAGAGACATAAATTTAATCTTACAAAGAAAAACAGCAAATAAGGACATAGGACCAATTTCTTGCTCAATTTCTAAAAAAAGTCAAACCATTATTTTGCTGAAGTGGGAAACCACTTCTTGATAGCATCAACCACTTCCACCACAGCTTTCTAGGAATATGTCCCCAGAGCAGCTGCTTCTCTTCAGTGTGTTCAATGGTGATCACTCAAATGCTGAGAAAATCACTGGAAATTAGAAACAGGCAAAAAGATTTCATTTTCTTTCTTAGAAGCAAGTCTGGATGAGATCTACTAATCTAAAATCTTGAAAGAGACAGTGACTAGGAAAATAGATTCACTAATGCCATAAATTAGCATAATAAATGAAAAAATAACTAAAAATAATTAATTGGGGCAATTAAAATCAATCACTATCTTTTTAATATCAAACATTTTAGACACTTTTTCTAACATATCAGTGCAAGGAATTATTTTTATAACAAACTTTAAAGTTAACGTGTTTTCTGGAAGTTTTCTAAAAGCCTGGTTAGACTACACTGATGACCAAGTGTCAAAGAGTTGCCCTTTTTGATGCCTCACTTACAGCGAAGCGAGGAGAAAAGGGATGTTGCTAAAGAGAAAACTGCTCAAATGGCAAGAGGGGAAATGTGGGAGTCCACAGAAACTAAAGCCAGCATCATCTCAAGGCTGATCTCGTGGGAGCGAAGAGCACACTGCCACGGAGCTGCTGAGCTTGGTGAGTGTTGCTTGTTTCCCTTTGAATTCAGCTGGATCAAAACTTTCTCTGGAACATGTTCTTCTCTCATGTTTTTTTTCAACCTTGAACCTCATTGCCTACTGCCATTCCTCTCCTTTGGGTTTATCAATGTACTCCCACAAATGTGGCGTAGAAATTTATATTATCTACAGAAAGCATGGATGTACCAGTTCTTATCCCATCACTTGGGTAGAGTTCTTTGAACAGGGAGACAAAAGCAGGGCAGAACACTAAAGGCAATGCTTTAAATATTATATAGCCACTTATTTGTACACATGTAATTTTATTTTTACTCAGTGTGTTCCTTACATGTGATTTCTATACTGGTATCCAGCCAGCACTGTCATGAGTGGTGGAGGATAAGCAGAGAAGCTGCTTTCACTAGCGCTGGCTGGCCACGCTCTACATGAAGAATGAGGACTGCCAGTTCAGAGCAGACCTCGTGATTCAAAATGCTGAAACAATGGGGAATTTTCAGGGATTTGAAAGAAAAATGCATGTGAATATGTAAGGGACTTGAATGGCCGTATAACTTGAGGAATGACTTTCCAAGGCCTACATTGGATCGAGGCAAATGTGTTTTGAATTTTCTCATTTTCTATGGATCATTAATACCTTGATGTTCCTCCTTCTAGGTTGCTATTAAACCTTGCTCTATACAGGCAGGTTTCTGAAACTATATCTTTATATGGAAGGGCCTATGAATATGTGGTTTGTGAAATAAAACACAGAAAAGAAAAATCCATAGAATAAGGAGGTCTTCACTTCTGTTGTAACAGAGCTCTAGTATTCATCTGCACATGAATGAATGCATGTGAAATTTAAATAAGCATCTGCTTCTCTTTCTTTATCCTCATGATACTTCAGGTTTCCTTCCAGCAGTTTATGAAGTCTGATGTTATCATAGAAACATGGTAAAAAAAGATGGTATTTTTCTATTTCCTATACAGATGTAATTTTGTGGTTGGAACTGTATTTTTGTGTGCGCATGCAGATGAGGGCAGAAGGAGTTTTGTGGCTCTAGAAAAACAGGCAATTCCAGCTCTTGGGTTGTATAACTTTTTTTTTGGAAAAAAACTTTATTCCTCTTCATGCACGCAAAGAGAATCAAGGTCCTGTCCCAGATAATGATGTCCTTTCCCACTCCTCCCACCTGCCTGCAGTATCCCTTCTCCCTTCCAAGCCCTTTCACTGCTAGCAGCCATCAGCAGAGCTACCTGTGCCAATCAGCAAATAGGTTCATGTGTTTTGATTTACTGGCCAGAAGACCAAACAAACAGAAAATCAACAAGCTCCTGGCAGCATGAGGGCCTTCTTCTGGATCTCCTTCTTCTAACACTTGCAGTTACCCTATCTCACTCTCACATTTGGCTGCAATGCATCAGTAAGATTCCAAAATAAATAAGGGAAGGAAAACCCTCAGACTCAGC